TGTTAATCTGGCCAGAGGCTCCATCAAAAAAGTGCTCTCAAAGATGAAGATTATTTACCCCCAATTTTCTTAAGTTCTCCAGATCATGTGAACTTCCTAGGTGTTTCCTTCTAAATTATCCAGTGCTACTTGTATTCACCTGGTCTAATCATTCTCCAAGTGAACAAAAACCTGATTTTACAAGCCAGTGGAGCACAGTGTCTCTTTGGCTAGAAGAACGAGTCTCAGATAGTGTGTTTTATTTCTTCATTAGTGTGCCGTCACAGTGAGCGAGCACTAAATGCAGGGCTGCATAAGAATGCTGGGGTTAAAGACAGCATAATGAACAAAGAAGGTGCCTGATTAGCATGGCTGTCAGCACAAGGGAATTGGGTTTGTCACCTGGCTTAACCAACTGGTAAGAACTGATTAGAGGCTGGAATCAGTTTGAAAGGATCCCTGATGTTTATGTTCCTTTCCATCCCCACATCTTGTCAAGAGAATCCGATAAAGCTGGGGGCAGGGTGCGAGTGGGGAGGGGTATTCTGCCGGTTATCTGAACAAGAGGTCTTTTGAGAAACTCCCACTCTCCCCTCCACTGCAATCTGTGTCTACTACAGTCCTGTTCAACAGAACTTTCTGCAAAAACAGAAAAAGTTTAGGGCTGTGCTTTCCAGTATAACCACCACCAGCTACATATGGCCATTGAAATTTTGAAGTAAGATTAAATAAGAACCTGAATGTAATGTCAGTGACTACTGCATTGGTGGTGCGGGTCACTATATTGGAGAGCAAGGGAGAAATCCAGAGGGAGAGCCATAGGTTCACTATTAAGGTCCAATTCTGCACCTGACTTACCACTGTATCTAACAGCAAAGTACAGTCACTTCTGCGATTATCCTTATCTCAAAGGATGTCTTAAGAAAATTATGTAGTTAATGTTTAAGGTTTTTTGTTTGAGAGAGAGTCCTGCTCTGTTGTCCTGGGTAGAGTGCCATGGCGTCGTCATAGCTTACAGCAACCTCAAACTCTTGGGCTCAAGTAATTCTTTTGACTCACCCTCCCAAGTAGATGGGACTACAGGTACCAGCCACAACACCCAGCTAGTTTTCCTCTTTCTAGTGGAGATGAGGTCTTGCACTTGCTCAGGTTTTGAACTCATGAACTCAAGCAATCCACCTGCCTTAGCCTCATAGAGTGTTAGTGGTGGATGTGAGCCACCATTTCTGGCCTAATGTTTAAGTTACAAAAAAACAAAACAAAACAAAACAAACAAAAAAAACCCTAAACTTAAAAATCCAGTTCTGTAGAGAAGTGGTCTCAACCTTGATTGTACAATCAAAAAAACAGGCCAACTTTTGAAAATACTGATGCCTGAGTCGTATCCCCAGAGATCCTGAGGTGCAGGGCAGCAGGGGGTAATTTAATTATGTAATTGAGGGTAAGAACCACTGAGAGAAAGGCAATGAGCTATATAGTCCACCTGCTGCAGAGGTCACCTGGGGAAGGAAGTGACCACCTGGGGAGAAAAAGTGAGAGAACAAATATTTAGTAGATCTTGACCACATGCCTTTGCAAACGTTTTCTCATTTAATTCTACAGACCATCCCAGAGGTAACTAGAGAGAATTCCATTTTACAGATAAGGAGATTGGGGTTTGGAGAGGGTAAACATCCTCTCAAGGTCACCAACTGAGTTGGTGGTTAGAGCCAAGGCTTTCTGACCTGCCCTGAGAGTTCCTGGGTGACACCATCTGCGCTTCCTCTTCACTGAAGCACTGGGTGTCAGTCCCTGGGAGGCCGCGCCATCAGGGGAATGCCCGTGAAGCAGTGACATGAAAGCAGACCTTGGAGGGGTGAAGTGCAGGAGTTTCAAGGGCAGGACAAAAAGGATCACCTATTGCATTGGTATTTTCATGATTTTCATCAATGACTCAAAAAGTTTCCAGACTTCTTCCTTTAACCATGCTAAGGATAATCTTTTCTAAAACATCAAAACTACTTGAATTTTTACACGTTGGGGTCTATTCATATGCTAAAATCAATAATTTCGGTTTTTTTTTTTTTCCTTTTGCATCTTTAAGATAAAGCTACCAATTTTTTCAGCCAGGCGTTGTGGCTCACACCTGTAATCGCAGCATTAGGGAGGCTGAGGCAGTTGGATTGCCTGAGCTCACAAGTTCAGTTTGAGACCAGCCTGAGCAAGAGTGAGACCCCTGCTCTAAAAAATAACTGGGCATTGTGTCAGGTGCCTGTATTCTCAGACATTTGGGAGGCTGAGGCAAAAGGATCACTTGAACCCAAGAGTTTGAGATTGCTGTGAGCTATGATGCCACGGCACCCAACCCAGGGAGAGCAAGTGAGACTCTGTCTCAAAACAACAACAAAAAAAACTACCAATTTTTTTTATAGAAGTAAAATTTCAAGGGCTTGACCACCACAATCTTATTACACAGATGGCGAAAGGCATCTGACCATGTTAGCTGAGCGAGGCGGCTCACGCCTATAATCCTAACACTCTGGGAGGCTGAGGAGGGCATATCGCTTGAGCTCAGGAATTCAAGACCAGCCTGAGCAAGAGTGATGTCCCATCTCTACTAAAACTAGAAGTAGCTGGGCATAGTGGTTGGAGCCTGTAGTCCAGAGGCTGAAGCAGGATTGCTGAGCCCAGGAGTTTGAGGTCGCTCTGAGCTATGACGGTGTGGTACTTTACCCAGGGTGACAGAGTGAGAGTCAGCCTCTAAAAAAATCAAAATATAAAAAGTTCACTAATGAGGTTATTGGCACACTGTCTCCCCCCAGAAGGCTAGACAACAGGTCAGAATCACAAGACTGAAAAAATACCTGGGAGAAAGAGCCCCAGGCCCTATTGTCATTGAAGGTAAATTTCATGACATTTATAACACAATCAAATTACAATCTCTAGAGAAGGTTTTGTCTGCATGTAAAGGAGGTGGTGAACTGCGTGGTGCAAATAGAGGGTGATAATCAAAATGCCAGCCCCAAATACTTCCCCTAAATTCCCACAAACAGAGAGCTGTTGGTAGTGGTATGGCCAGAGATGGGGAGTTTGTTATTAAACTAATCACAGAAAATGGAACATAGAATAAAATCATTTACACCTGGAAGAAAAAGTGTTGGGACTTTTCCAAATCAAAGTGGCCATCCTGAGAAAGTCCTTAGTTGATGGGAGGAATGGAAAAGAAAGCAAGCCTTGCCTACTCATGTTTCCAACTAAGGCTGGCCCTAGGATTCTCCTTACCTGTGGATGTTCCTGCTTGACTAAGCAGAGTAGGCAAAAGAACCTCCCAGTAATAAAAACCAGGTGAATTTTCAGGTTGTACAGCTCTGTCCAAGGTGGGGTGTGGTCTTGGGTGTGTCCCTGAACACCTCTGAGCTTGATGTCCCTTGGTCTATAAAGTATAGATAATACGTGCCTTACAGACCTACTGTAATATGAGCCATGAGACATGGTTTATTGAAAGTGCCTAATATGTTACTGGGTATCATCATAAAATTATCATTATTATCATTGTCTCTTGCTATAAAAGAAACTTTGGAGGTTATGGCAATTTCAGTACAGATTCGGAATGGACCTGTCTCCCCAATTCCTTTTTAAGGTGACACTGGATTGCACTAGGAAATAACCTCACAGCAGCCCTGACTCTTCAAAAACTAGAAAAAAAACTTTTATTTGTAGTGACATTAGCTCCAGGCCAGCTAAGATGAAGTTTGTTTGTAGTAGTTAGGAAAGAAAATAATAATAGTTATAATAACAGTAAAAGCTGAAATATGTGTATCAAGTAGCAGGCATCATCGTATGCATTTTACATAGCATGTCACCATTTGAGTCTGTTGACTAGCAGCAGCCTTAAGGGAGGTACTATTATTAACTCCAATCTGCAAGTCAGAAAACAGATTTAAGGTGCTAAATAGTAGCTCGGTGCCTGCAGCACAGTGGTTATGGTGCTGGCCACATGCACCAAGGCTGGTGAGTTAGAACCCAGCCTGGGCCTGCTAAACAACAATGACAACTGCAACAAAAGTGTCAAGTGTTGTGGAGGGTGCCAGTAGTCCCAGCTACTTGGGAGGCTAAGGCAAGAGAATGGCTTAAGCCCAAGAGTTGGAGGTTGCTGTGAGCTGTGATGCCAAGGCACTCTACTGAGGGTGACATAGTGAGACTCTGTCTCCAAAAAAAATAAAAATGCTAAATAGTCATGCAACTGCTCAGTGGTGGTCTGGGAAACAAACAAAACCGGTTGAAGGTCTGTACACAAAGCCACTAGGGTGCCCCACCAAACAAAGCCTCTCGTAATGGGAATGTGCTGGTGAAATGTCTGGGCCCATAGCTCCCTGTTCTGGGCAAAATCACGGCCATTGCAAGGTCTGTGAAGCCCATGGTACACATGAAAGGAACGACCAGACCCGGGAACATTGTCTACACAAAGTATGGTAAGAGATTTCTGGAGTCCTCCTGTAGACCCCCTCTTCATACCAAGCTTGCCAGCCTCATTCATTCACTAACCCAGCACTTACTGAAACAAGCATTTATTAGGATCCAGGCCTGGGTGTTATGAATACAAAACTATGAGGAAAGATGAAAGAGGTGAGAGCGATGATCTCAGTGCACCTGAGCTGCCTCTTCACAGACGGAAACCACATTCCCAAACCCTGCCGTCTACCTGATTCTCCTGCAGTAGTCAAGCTTCCCTGAGCCCTCATGCGATGGTAAATCCATTTATAAATTCCAATCGGAGCTCTAATTACAGTCAGACAACCTCTGAACACTCAATCTCTTCTCCACCAACTAGTCTGTTGGCAGCTGTGCGTTTTGAAGGCAACCAGAAACAAAGACAATGATCCTTTCTTTGTATAAGCATTTCCCCTGCTAGGATGGAGAAAAGATGCATGTTTATCTGATTCCCCCCTGCATGATTATCCCAGGAGAAGACCTGGCAGTGCCCCCCAGGTGGTAATGAAAGCTGTTGGCATAGCAGAGACGGAGACAAGCACACAACTCACGGGTGCAGGGCATGGAGGCCGCATCATTGTCAGCCCTGAAAAAGCCTCGGTCACAGGTGCACGAGGTGGCTCCTTCCCAGACAGAGTAGCTGTGGGGTGGGCACTTGGCACAGGTGGCATCCGTGGAGAGAGCCTTGTAATATCCAATTTTGCAAGCTGCAGAGAAGGAGAAAAAACAAATAAATATAAACCACTCTGAGAATACGGCAGAGCAAAATCTGAAGCCACCTCCTTAAATCCAAAGAAGGTTTTTTTTTTTTTTGCTAAACATTAGCAATTATGTGGCTTGAGATACAAGTAAAGTAACAAAAGTTAAAAAAAAAAAAAAACATGAACCGATTATAGTCACTCTTTCAGGGTCATTAACATTCCTGGTCAGGTGACGTGGAACCCTATGGCAGAAATTTTCTTGCAACTGGTGCTATCAAGTAAAATCACAGCTAAAGTTTATTGAACACCTTTCTACGAGCCAGTCCCTTTTACATCACCTGGTTATTTAGTCCTTACAGCATTCCTTTTCTGTAGGCATTGTCTTTACCTAGAAGTGAAGAATTTCAAGTTTCGGCAGTTAATTATCAGCACAAGACCTTGCATCTGGTGAGTGTCAGAAACTAGCTTTGACCCCAAGCACTCTGCCCTCAAAGCCTGTGTATACTTAGCCACAGAATTTGAGAGTGTGGTCTTTAACCAGTTGGAAGTGTACCCAAGTGCTAACCAAAAATTGGTTGGTGATTATTTCCTAATTATAGCTATAGAAAGAACCCAATGGAAAGACCAACAAGAGCAACCAAGTAGAAAAGACAAGAGTTTGTAAGGCACAGGTCACAGATTTAGAGCAATGTCATAAAAACAACCAACTATAGAGTCTGGAATATAATATGCTAGAATTTTTTTTTTTTGAGCAGCAAATACTTTGTGTTTATTTTCGAGTTAATGAAACACTCCTAGTTTTCCCTCTCTCCATTTTTTCAGCACCCCTCCCAGGCCACGCACACACCTCCCCAGGGGCCAGTGCCGGGAACATGGGCCATATAGTTCTGTGTGCACCTGACCCGCTTTCCATGACTTCATCTTCATAAACATCTTACTGACACCAAGGACTACTTTTACTAATGTGGAAAAACTCAACTAATTTGGTGAAAACTCATAATAAAAAATAATGACTAGGGCCTTGCTTCCCCCATTTTTTCTTCTACGCTCTTCATGCTCAGCTCCCAAATCTGTCTCAACCTGAAACAAACGTTGACCAACACCATCAGTATTACACCCAGAGACGAGGCCATTAAAATAAAGTTATTCCATGACACCAGAGGTTAAAAGAAAATGTGACAGTTACCCACAATCTTGGCAGCATGATTCACTGTCAGTCCTCCCCCCCACCCCATTTAAATCCTGTCGTTAGGATGTGTGTATATACACCACACCAGCTGGGGAAGGGCCTATCAGGCATTTTTTATGGGCCTGGCCACCAAAACCAATCAACGGTGCTAGCAAGCCCGCAGATCTCAGGGAAATGAGCAGATAAGAAGAGATCAACAAAACTGACTGATTCTCTGTGAAGACTTGGCCACAATCCCTCTGCTGCTCCTCGTCCGGCAAGCATCTGTACAGCTTCCAGTTGGAGCCTGTTCCTCCCACTTGCATATCCTGTTGGCATTTTCTTAATCATGCTCTTGTAATGGCAAGCGGAAAGGGAGTTTAGCAGGAGCTCAGAAAGGCACACAGTTACTTCACTCTTATTAACTAAAGTTGTTTATGGAATTTCCTTTTAACAAGCCAAAACTTTATGACGTGTGGAGTGCCAACAGTAAAAGTGTTCAGAGATCAATCTGTCCCTTATTTTTGCTTTCGTCTTTCACTGGACCGGAGCATCTTAGAAAAACAAGTTGCTCTGATGACTGAGATTTATGTGTCTCGAGTTTAGACACATTGCATAATTAGATCAGGTTCAACTTGCAAGGTGCTTTTTGGTCATGCTTAAGATGGCCCTAGGGTTTCGATTAAAATCAGAAACCCTGGCTTAGGCAGGAAGAAGCCCCGAGGTCAGGCCTGGCTCTGAGTACCCACACCACCACCCCCACCCCACCACCCCACCCCGGTCTCACCTGGCACTCAGTAGTAGCTAACAAAAATGACCTGTGGTATCTCATATTAAAACTGCCAAGAAGGCACAAATTGCTTTTATTTTTTTCACATCTGAATGTTTGGGGCAAAATTCTGCATGTTACTACTGATAATTCTTGACTTCATCAAACATCAAAATCTAAAAACTGACAGTGAGAGCCAGGGATTGGTGATGAAAAAACTGACCAATGACTGATCATTGCAATGTGAAAAAATCACACAAAGCTTGTAAGAAAGAAGAAAAAAGAAAAGGCATCTTTGTTTCCTCAACTTGTATTCTTATAAAACTACTTCCAGTTAAAAAATTAAACTCATAGATCACAAAAATCTAATTTCTCCTAAATTCTTTAAATTAACTTTAAAGTACAAAATTGGGCTGCTGGGAGAGATGGCTAAAGCTTGTAATCCTAGCATTTGGGGAGACCGAGGCAGGTGGATTGCCTGAGCTCACAGGTTCGCGACTAGTGTGAGCAAGAGTGAGACTTCCTCTCTAAAAATAGCTGGGCTTGTGGTGGGTGCCTGTAGTGCCAGCTACTTGGGAGGCTGAGGCAAGAGAATTGCTCAAGTCCAAGAGTTTGAGGTTGCTGTGAGCTGTGATGCCATGGCACTCTACTGGGGACAACAAAGTAGACTCTGTTTCAAATAAATAAATAATAAAAACAAAATTGGAGTTATATACTATGCAAATCCAAAGGAAAGTACATTTGTAAACTTTTATTTTGTTCTGTAAACTTTTTTTTTCTGTTTTTCCCTAAAAAAAAAAATAATAATAAAAACAAAATTGGGGTTATATACTATGCAAATCTAAAGGAAAGTACATTTGTAAACTTTTATTTTTTTCTGTTTTTCCCCACAGCTAGTCCTAACATGCTACCAATAATAAAAATATATGAGTTCATTTGGGAAACAGAGTTTTACACCAATTTGGAAAACAGAAGACTGCCGTTCTTTAACCATGCTATTTTTACTCTCCTTTCCCCTTGCTTTTACAAGCACAAGCAGAAAATACAAAATTGTCATCGTGCTATTCTCAGCAGTCCTTGCTACCCTTAACACATTCTTTTGTCTTCAGCTACATTAAGACCATGTTATTAATATTTCAGGATTCTTAGAAAGGCTCTCTCAAAATATAGTAGTGGCTTTTTACGCATACAGCCATTTTGCTGCCTACATCCAAATGACCTACTAAACTGATGGTTCAGTACATTTCTGTGCTCTGTGGCGCACCGCCTTCTGGCGTTTGGTGCATAAATGTGTAAGCAGATTTTGCATCTATTCACCACTTACTTGTGTCTTAAAATGTTCACCACCTCTTTCATTCTACACAAAACCCCTGTGAAAGAGGCACTTGGCATTACAAGCACTGACACCTGTTACCATTTCCCATCACTCTCCTTGAAGTGAGAACTGTTGCACTGTATTTTTGAATATTAATGAATTGGTAAGCCAGTCTAGAGAAGAGTCCACAGTGCAAGCTCCAGAAACATCTTCCTCTTGCCCTCTTTCCAGTGAAACTTCCCTAGAGGAAGAACCAGAGGAAGGGGCTCCTTACTTGGCCTCCTGAATATGCCAGTGTGAGAAGATTAGTTCACATGTGCAATGCAAACTTGGCATTCAGTTCCTCGAGCTTTGACTTAATTGGTTCTTTCTGTTGACTTTAAATAAAAGAAGGTGGCGGATGTGGAGTGGAGGAGGAAGAAAAACTCTCCTCTTTCATTGGCTCCCCCACTACCACAATAAGGTTGCTTTAAGAAAATCTTTAGGAAAGTTTCTTTGTAGAATACTTGGACATAATTACTTCTGGTTAGAAACAAAAATCATTTTTTTAAAGTGACATGGTATCATCTGGATTTTTTTGGTGCATTCTGTGGGTACATGAAGATACAGTGTTCAATTTAATGCGCTGATTATACTTTAAACAATATCCTATGGTCATTTTTTTAAAAACCTTATCTTGAGGTTGTGATATTAGGTACCCATTCCCAAAGAGGTTTGATGGAGAACACTGCCTTTTGTGTACTGGATACACAGAATATCCAGTATTAGGAATCTATTTTAGAAATAGCAAAGTCACTTAATGGCCATTATTGAATTAGTCCACTCATTAGACTATTTATTATATTAACAACATAAGGAAAAATAATAGGAAATATCTGTCAAAGAGGGTGCTACTTTGAAGTTTTGTAAAAATGTATGAGTCCTGGCCATCTTTGGGGAAGCTGTGAACATTAATCAATAGAACATTAACCAACATTCCCATAGTACAGATAGGAAAACTGAGGCAGAGAGTCTAAAGATTTGCCAAAGGTAGTGAGGATTTCTTAACCCAGGCAATATGGACTTCTTGAACTAATATGCTACAGACCTTTTTTTTTTTTTTCTTTTTAAACCTAAAGGGTGAAGATGAACAATTTCTATAGAAATCTGGCTGATCCATACCGTCTAACTCATCTATATTCCACAACTAGTTGTACTGCTGTGTGCTGGGAATCATTAAAAATGTGATCGTTGAAGGAACCATGGAGATCATATTGGCCAGGGATTGGCAAATATTTCTATGAAGAGCCAGAGACTAAGAGGAAAACCAAGAGTATTAGAGGCACTTGAGGAACAATTTTCTTTGGTGACAGAAATAAAAATATAACAGTAATTATCTTTTTTGTAATACAGATTTACTGATAAAGAGAATGTGAATTTTTTACAAGAGAGAGAACATTTCACTTAACAGAGATTCAAAGGAAGTGTTCACAACTACCAAATCCATTGCAAATGTCATCTGTAGACAACATTCTTAGTTCTCAGATCATATAAAAGCTGGTGGCCGGCCACAGCTGGCCCAGGGCCATACTTTGCTAACCACTGATCTTTTGAGATGAATGAGGTGCCCACAGCCCCCTTCTGAAGCGTGGCAGGAACAAGGCTGCAATGCATAGTTCCTTGATCTATGCTAGTCTGCAGTGCCTCCCTGAGTTTTAAATGACAAAGTTTAATAAAGAGCACTTCCTTTTTTTTTGAGACAGAGCCTCGGGCTG